CCTCGTGTTGCTTTCCATTGTGAGCAGATGTGTTCAATAAACATTTTTATTTTAAAAAGAGCGTGGTTTCGGTTTTTGAACAATTCGGTTTTCGAACAGCCTTCTGGAACGGATTATGGATGAAAACCGAGGTTTGACTATATATATATATAATTTTTTTTTTCTTTCTCAAAAGGTGTTTGCGGTTCCCAGTGTTGTCTTTTCTGTGGAAACCATGTCGAAATGGCTGTTTCGGTGTAAAAGGTTGCTGACCCCCTGGTCTAAGGGAATAAGCAGTTTGATTGGTTGATCGCATGTCTTGTGCTGTGCCGGGTAGAAGCAGAAATGCACTACATCTCAATGTTGGTCATTAAAGGCAGCTGAAAAAAGACATACAGTAATCCCTCGTTTATCGTGGTTAATGGGGACCAAAACCACCCGCGATAAACGAAAATCCGCGAAGTAGCGACCCCCTCCCCCCCAACGTGGGCCTTCGTGCTTGAGCAGAGTGCACTAAAACACACACACACACACACACACACACACACACACACACACACACACACACACACACACACACACACACACACACGCACTAGCACGCATCGTAAACAACACTTAGACACTGAAGATCAAAGAGTAACCCACGTGATAAGACAGAAAGAAGATGCACAGCCAATCAACATGGCTTTGCATCTTCTCAGGCCCCCCTCACCCCACATGTAGTACTGTATATGTTGCTCTATGTCACTCATGGTTGTTTTGCTGATTTTCGCTGCTTCTCGCGGACCGTTTGCGGACTTAAAAAAAAAAAAAATTATGAATATGTTTGAAAAAATCCGCGATGCACTGAAGCCGTGATAAACGAACCGCGAAATAGCGAGGGATCACTGTACTTGTCTGTTTAACCCATTGGCGTTCACCCACACGGCAAAGAGAAGAGAGGGAGGAAAAATAATTTTCCAGGAAAACTCAAGCTTTTCCTGGACATTTTACTTTTCTCCTCATTTTCCATGTGGTTTCCACGACTGAAAAATAGATAAATCATTTTCCAGGTTTTCTAGGACGCATATGAACGCTGGAAAATTAACGGGAGGAGCACGGGTGCTGCCTCTCTGAGCACAAACATTTTCAGTGTGGTTCTTCTGTCCTAACCATGCGTTTGACATGAGAGCATTGTGTTGTCAGCGAGCTGAACAATCCTCCAGCGAGCTAAACAATCCTCCAATAAAAACACGAAGATGAGAATCCACTGTTTGGTATTATTATGGAAATCTTGCTTGTAAAAAATTGTGCCTGAACTTGTCAAAAGAAAGAGGATGGAAGTGGATGTGATCACACCTCTCCACTGTTATGATTCAAAATGGTGACCCCACTGACTTTTTGGGTGGTTTTAACTACTTCCGCCACTAGGGGCACTGCACTGTAATGCAATGCAATTTTGGGTGGTTTTAACTACTTCCACCACTAGGGGCACTGCACTGCACTGTAATACAATCACTGGGGGCAGAATACTGGCGTTCAAGTCAGAGTGACTTTCCGAATGCATCGCACGTTGACGGCAGCAAAGGAGTTCTGGTTGAATGAAACCTCCGCTTATATGGAAAAGTTTTTCTTTTTACTTTAGAATGGGTGACCCTTAACTAGAATCCTGCATCGCATTGTGGCAATAGGTAGAATCCTGGTCGGTTATTGCAAGTTTTAGTGCTATAAATCCTTAATGTGGCATGATGAATTTGCATGTTAAACTAGCTATCCAAAATAATATTTGTTGCCTTGACAACAACTCTTGCTTCTTCTTTTGTGTCCATTTCTTGTTTAATTTTCTTTTGACTTTTGGCAAATTCTTTGTGAGTGCATTACCGCCACCTTTAATGGCATGCTATAAAGAAGGTGGCATGACCACCACAACTACTTCTTCTGGTGTCTTTTGGCAAATACTTTTGGTGCTTGACTGCCAGTGGAAAGAAGGTGGCGGTTCTGCACAGAAAGTCAACAAGATTAGGGAAGGGAAATTTTGGGTGACAGTCTGAGCTCTATATGTACAATATAAACAAGTTGCAACTGAGTATAAGTCGTAGAGTAGCCAAATTATGAAAACAAGTGTAACTTGCAGACCGAAAAATACAGTATTCTATGCAGAAGTAATCATGCAATAAATGTTCTGGCAGTAAATGAGTGACCCAAATAAAACAGGTCTTCATTGTTTGCTTTGTCACGAACTTTTACATGCAGTAGAATCAATGTTTCGTATTCTGCAAATAAGTGAAACATTTCACTGATCCACAATGTGACAATTTGCATAATAATAATAAGAATTAAACACTAACCTGGCCAATGGTACTAGGTAATGAACGAAGTAAATGTTGCTGCTGTTGGTAGGTGAGCATTGATGAAGGAGGCTGGCCTGGAGTAGAAAAAAAGCTTTCAGTCAAGCAGGTTATAGAATTAAACTACCAGTACATTTTCTGAGCTTAACATCATACTATTTTCCAAAAATGAAAGTGTCAAGAGTGACACTGGAACTGAGAACAGACTGTGGATGTTTGTTTTTACACCCACCTGAGGTGGAGGACCCAGGAGGCCGTTGGTGCTGCTGGGGGTGCTGGTGTGGGTGAGGTGAATGAGAAATGGGGGAAGCTTGGTGCAGGAGTCTGGACCTTGACTCATGCTCCAACCTTTGGTTTTGGGAAAACACAGGCCTTTCTGCAGCCCCGACTCCTGCAATAGCCGGGTCAGCTTCCAGGACAAGTCTTGCCAGCGATTCAGCCAAGTGACCTTCCCTTCTTCCATCTTCCACATCTGACAGGAGAGATACAGGGTTAGGGTCCAGTCTTTTGCTTCTATACAGTGCTTGAAAAACCTCTTGAATTTGATCACAATTTCTGACCTTACAATCACAAACCTAAATGTATTTTGTTGAGATTATAAGTGATAGACCAACACAAAGCAGCTCATAATTGTGAAGGGAAACAAAAATGATATTTGTGGTGTGCATTTGTATTCAGCCCCCTGTACTTTGATACCCTGATACAATCCAGTGCAATCAATTGCCTTTGGAAGTCACCTAAATGGTAAATTCAGCCCAACTATTTGTAATTTGCTCTCAGTACAAATACAACTGCTCTGTGCAGGGCTCAGTGGTGTGTTCAGAGAACACTCGTGAACAACAGTAAACTAAGGTACTCACCAAAGGGGTCAGGGTGAAAGATGTGGGGAAGCTGGTTTAGGTTATCAAAAATATCCCAAGTTTTGACCTTTTTTTTCAGGGTTTTCCCCCCAGAAAAAATGTGAAACGCTTGTTCCCATAGAAGGCAAAGCCAATGCATGAGCATTGGAAATAAGCCACAGCTTGATCAATTTTCAAATGCTTTTCATGAGGCTAACTTTTTTGTGAAGCCATTTACGATCATCTTTCAATCTGTTGGCCTCGAACTCAGCCATGATTTTGTTGCCACGACGGATGATTGTCGAAATCGTTGACTTTGGCAATTCGTAGTCTCGGCTAAGCTTCCTCTGGATACTCCTTTTCGAAAGTAAGAGACAATTTCAGCTTTCACAGACAGCGAGATTCGCTTCCGTTTACCAGACGGGTTTTCAGAGCATGTGCTCAGGACCATGCCTTGCCTATCGGTAGTACACCAATGTACGAGTAGATCAGTAGCATTGCTAATGCAGCACTGTATACAGTAAATATTCTCTAGTGCGGACTCGTGTTTGCGCTGTCCAATTTGTCCTGATAACAGAAATTCCTCATTTGGGAAATGAGCATGGTACATGTCCTTTATGAACCTGCAAGTATGTTGACAAAAATGCACGTGTAACAACACAATCAATAAAATACAAAAATATACTGTCCAAAAACATTATATAACAAAAACTGCAATACTGGTGTATCCAAAAAAATCACAACAGTAAAATATGTACAGTATTTTAATGTTTATTTTTTTTCTGTCTTGGGGAAAAAAGTGTGTCTATTTTGGATTGTTTGGTTGGATGCATTCTTTGGTTTATGACAATGTTTGCCTGCGTGTCATACAGTTTTGTTGCTAGTTGCAAGTAACTGTCCCGTTGATCACCGATGTCTGGTAATTCTTGTGCATACTGATGGATTTGTTGCCATTTGCATTGCTTCCTCGCTGGATGGTGGCTTGTCATCAGGAGTTGAATCGATGCCTTGTTTTTTAAAGCTTCGTGGATTTGCGTCTTTCCGACTCCAAGTGTCTGCTGGATGCTTTTAACTTTGTGTCCAGCCTTGCTCAAACGGATGCATTTCACTCGCTCCGCTCCAGTCATTACAGTTCTTCTACGTTTCGATGCCATGATCTACACGACGTAAGTGAATAAAGTTAAAATCTTTCGCAATTGCAGTCAAACGCACGCCAATAAAAACTCACTTACACGTCGTCGTTTCGAATCTGATGATCGAAAAACGCGAAGTGAAAATGTGTCTCGGTGTCGTCGTTCCGTAGCATCGGATGGGCGTTGCGTTTATTTCAGCTCCCGCGGCATGACGTCTCCATCCGGGTTACGGGTAGTGGAATTTCCGCTTACGTAAGTTCCGGTAACATGTAATATCGTAGTCAAAATGTTAATGCACAGGCTTTTGTTCCGGGTGAAGGATATTCCTTTTCATAGAATTCCGGGGATGGGAATATTTACTGTATTTTGTTCAGAAGCAAGGTCGCAGTGGCAGTTGGCTTCCCACGGTTCGTTGTAATGAAGGTCTTGTCACTATTTTGTGGAAAAAATCTGATCATTATAATGGAGTTTACATTATAAAGGTGTTCGTTGTAAGCAAAATCGGCAAATGTATAATTAATTATGTCAAATTGGGACTCTGATATGTGAACTTTGTAGGGGTGAAAATGTTGCAAACGGGGTACGTTGAAAAGAGGTTTGACTGTACAGACGCTCCCCAGCTAACGAACGAGATACGTTCCGAAGGATCGTTCGTTAGCTGAATTCGTTCGCAAGTTGCTTCAGTGCTATATTTTGTATGGAATGTATGTTTAAGGTTTATATAAGTATAATAAAATTAAGTTGAACTTACTTTTGGAAGATGTACTCGAAGGCTTAAGGAGATAATGGAGGGGGAGGAGAAGGAAGAGGAGGATTTTATATCATGGGGCCGAGAGGGTCTTCGTCGCCGCTGGAATGGGCTTCAAGAGTTACTTCCTCCTCCGTAACATCAATGAAGGAAGAAGTTGAGGGTCCAGGAGAAGAAGATGAGGGTTGACGAGTATCTTCCTTGGAGGGTGTAGTAGAAACTGGCCGAAAGAAGCGATCTAACGACGATTGCAGTTTTGTTCTTTTTCTCATCATAAATGATGCAGTAGCACTGTATGGCATCATTCATTTGATTTGCAACCTTTGTGCAACGTTCAATATTTGGGTCTTGCTGCTCGAAGAGTGCGATGGCTTTATCTATTAGCGAAAACCCCTCGGCCAAGAGTTCCATCTCAAACTTCTTCATGGGGACAGGCATTTCCTCCTCCTCCTCCTCCTCTCACAGCGCCTCACGTCGGTATTAGCGGCGGAAAGAAGTACTACAGTACTTGGAAAAAGGCGCGCAATACAAAATCTAACTTACAGCATCTCTGTCTGAGAACATTTTTCGACATACCTGTACCTGCAAAAGTGTTCGTATGTACCGTTGTTCGTAACACGAATGTTCGTAAATCGGGGAGCACCTGTACTTGTTATAAGAGTAGCTTTATTTGTCACCCCGGATTCGAGAGCTGTGTGGTGCGGAGCAGTCTAGCTTAGCATCCAGCGTTCTCAAGCAGCCACGAGAGAAAAACTTCAGTGAGTATGGGCGATAGTGTGACATAGATGCGATGCTATTTTACTTTTTTATTTTTAAGCTCAGAGCTGGCTAGTGTAACCTGTCCACAGTAGCATTCCAATAGCATTTGTGAGCATGCGGCATAGGAGCCGCTTTGACAGCTTTGTCTAAGGTTGCGATTTAGATCGATTTGTTCTATACATGTATACACATTTCTGTGCAGTGCGCACACGCACGCACGCACACTCTCACCAAACAGTTTTTAGGGCAAAGAAGTGGAATGTAAAGAAATCGGAAAGTCTGTCATCTGACCTGAAAAGGACTGAATGTGCATTTCACTTGTTATAGAACAAAACTGAAGTGAATATTCCTCAAGAACAAGCAGGACTGTCAGAGCAACACCAGGGATGAAATCCAGAGTCTGGTGATGTCTATGCATTCCAGAGTTCAGGCTGTAATTTACTGCAAAGGATTTGCAACCAAGTATTAAAAAGCCAAAAGTTTGATTTCATTTGTTCCATTAGTTTTGGTCCCTAAAAGGTGGGAGGAAGATATACAAGCTGTTGTTTATCTACACTGTTCAACTGATTTGGATGTAAATATGTTATAATTAAAGCGGTATGTCTGCAATTAAGGACCAACTTGTCGATGTCTGATTATTCAGGGATCCGACTGTTCTACCTGTACTTGTCTATTAGTGTAGCGACACTATGCATGAAGTCTATGTTGCGGACACATTGGCAAACAAGTACGTGATGTCACAAGGCCAAATTCACAATGACTTGCTGAAAGCCATTGTCATATTTTCAGAAAAAGGCATCTCACAAAAGATAAAAGTGTTAGTGTAATTTCACACTTGATGAGTGGGCAAGTACGCCAGAGATGTAAAAGAAATTAAAAAGTGAAATTCCCATAATTTGTTCCATTTTAGCTCAAATACAAGATCCATTTCAAAGTTCAACCAGTTATTTCAAACTCAACTTCTTCAAACTTGAAAGTTAAAAACAAGATTTACATATTCATGTAAAATGGTATTCAAGATTTACAGATCAATGACATTTGTTTTGATGTCACGAACCTGACTGATGTCTACCAGAGGAAGACGAGTGGTGGGGTAAAGACAACGCTGAGTGAAAGGGAAGCTGGCCGGCTGTAGATGTGACATGGGTGGATGATGAATCCTTAGATGCTCCGAAATTTGTTTCATCTTTCACCCCAACTCCTACCCCAAGTCCCTCTCCAAGTTCATCTCGCTCATCAAGCTCAGCAAGGCGCTTATGTTCCTCTTGCCAGTCATCATCTGGAAACAGAGATAAGCCAAACTCGTGGTTTGTTATACAATACATCTTTATTTACATAGTGCACAGGTGTCAAAGTCAAGGCCCGGGGACCAGATCTAGCCCGCCACACCATTTTATGTAGCCCGTGAAAGCAAATCAAGCATGTCAAATTCCATGATGCTTGCTAAAGTCTGAACCAATATTTCAAATTGCCATATGTAATCCACAATAACAGTCATTATTCTTAACTTCTGATTTTAAAACTAGTTATCCATCAATTTGTTGTGCGCTGTGTATGTAATATGTGGAGGTGATTAAACATTTATATGGTTTCCCAAAATGCATATCGGCCCCCCAAGGAAAACCATAACTACAATGTGCCCCATGACAAAAATGAGTTTGACACCCCTGACATAGTGCTTTCGCAACAGCTGCAGCTGTAACAAAGTGCTTCACAAAACAGTTGTGTTTCACAGACACTCCTTTTGCAAATAAATAGGACCATCATTTCCAAACTCCAAAGTGCACCTGACTAAAAGCCGCAGCTAAATTTAGCGATAAAAACAAATATGTACATATATTGTCTCCACATTATACAGTCAAATGTAATATTGCAAAGAAATAGGTCACACAGATGGATCTTTATGTGTTTAACATCAATACTTCATCATAATTTATCATTTCATATGTACCTGTGGATGAAATAGCAAAGCTTGTGGTAAAAATGTACACGAGTTGCGTATGTTTCGCACCAGCGAATGGGACCGAGGCCCGCCTTTCAGTATATTTATACAAGTTTTTATTATATATTTTTCATCTTTATTTTCACACATGTCCTCTCTCTGTGGAATATTAAGTGTTCATTCATTGACCCTATCTTTTTATGGATTCAAAAAGTGATACAGTACAACATATTGTATGGGGTGGTGTTGCACTGAGTACCAGTACAATACCATATCTTGCCATCAAAAATGACAATAGCATAATTTCCAAATACTAGTACCTGGGGGCAATGAAAAGAGAAAAAAAAGCAACTCTGCGTCAGGCTGGGCTGGCGCGCATCGCAACACACCCCATCTACACAAAATGCGCAAGTGTCTGGGCTAGAATCTGTCATCGAAAAGCAGAATATTGTCGCTGTCTGGTGAAAAAACATGTATATCCATTATTGTCATTTAAAAAATTTTTTTTACATTACCGTATTTTCCGCACTAAAAGACGCACTGGATTATGAGGCGCACCTTCAATGAAGGGCTATTTTGTAAGTTTTTTTCATATATTGGACGCTTCACATTATAAGGCGCAATCTACAATGCATCCACTAGATGGTGGTACGCCCCTTCCATTCAACTCGAGAGGCTCAGTTCAAGTTGAGAGGCGTTCATGACCGCCTCTGAAAAATGTAAATCAACTATTACTGTACTTAAATGAAACTATGAAAATTGAAAATAATGCATCAAAACAGAAAATCAAGCGAGGAAATCACAAAATAAATTCGATATCCCCCCTACAGAATTTATTTTGTGATTTCCTCGCTTGATTTTCTTCGTGGTTTCATTGAAGTAATAATTAATTTACGTTTTTCGGAGGCGGCCATGAACGCCTCTCGAGTGGAACGAAGAAGGCACGGAGACGGACAAAGATGTACAGTACCTGTATTTGTTAAGACTGTGAAAACCATTAATAAAGTCTGCGTTAAAAAAAAAACACAGCTCTCCCTTTTTCAACAAATACAGGTGAGTCTTTGTCCGTCTCCGTGCTTTCTCTTATTCCGTTCAACTCGAGAGGCGTTCATGACTGTCATACCTGTCTCCGAAAAACGCATTGGCATTTCCTTGATCATAGCGCCACGACTACTATGATCAGATGTCAGTAGTAGTTATTTATTCCTTTGTTGTGTATTCACAAATGATGAAATCACAATATAAATTCTGTAGGGGTGGCTAGAGAATTTATTTTGTGATATCCTCGCTTGCTTTTCAAGTTTTGATATATTATTTTCAATTTTCGTAGTTTCATTGAAGTAATCATTATTTTACGTTTTTCGGAGGCGGTCTTGAACGCCTCTCGAGTCGAAAGGAAGAAGGCACGTAGACAGACAAAGACGTACCTGTATTTGTTGAGACTGTTTTAAAAAATGAAAACCACAGCTCTCCTTTTTTCTGAGCTGCAACAAAAACTTATTTAATAAAGCAGCGACACAGTTCACTGAACCAACAGCAAGTTATAACATTGGAAGCATGTCTCCAGGAAGGAGCCATTTTGGAGTCGATGTATTACCGTAATGACCATACAAAAGACACACGGGATTTTAAGGCGCTCGGTGAGCTTTTAAGAAAATTGAAGACTTTTTGGTGCGCCCTATAGTGCGGAAAATACGGTAATTGGATGTCAGTGATCCATTTGGTCACTTGTGTTACAATTTATATTCAAATAACTGGGCTTCCATCTTGCCAGTATTAGTGGTTGGAATGACAAATATGAAATATTCAATGAGATTTTATATCACCTGAAGGCTTGAATAAGAAGCAACAATACTTTTGTACAATACTGGATATACACAAAAATACCAGTTGCGCAAAGCTCAAAATTACATATTTTTTTCTTTGCAGAGTAGTTTCGCAAATCAATGACTTCATTTGAGGAGTGACTTTCTTAATTTTTTGTCAATTTTTTTCCCCCCCCCCCCCCCCCCCGCCAGGATAATGCCAGGGAACTAAAGCAAGGGTTTTATTAAGATAAAAAATATGAGTTAATTTGTTTTTTTTTTCATAGAATCAACAGTTTTTATTTCTAAAGTTCACTTCACATTATGCATCGTAGATCTATTCTGCCCCCAGTAATTGTATTACAGTGCAGTGCCCCTAGTGGTGGAAGTAGTTAGAACCACCCATAAAGTCAGTGGGGTAGCCATTTTAATTCATAAGAGTGAAACAGTGGAGAGGTGTGATAACATCCACTTCCATCCTCCTCCTTTTGACACATTCAGGCACAATCTGTAAGTACATTTACACAGTTGTATATACCACTCTTTGCTGTACAAGTTATTTATCGTCATATATAAGTATTTCATCAATTCATCTTTGTAGATATTTACCATAGATTTGTTGAATTAGAGAATAGGGTTGTTACAAGACTGTTGAATATCATTTTATATGTATAATTGGATGCTATACAAACATTTGTATTGTGTTTCTATTTGTGTACAGTTTTACAAGAAAGACTTCCATAAAAATACCAAACGGTGGACTCTCTACTGGCTGATGTAAACTGAGACGCAAGTTAATTTATTTTTGGTTCTGGTTCAATTTAGCACATATGATTTTCTCTCTAGAATCTAGACACTTAATTGTGCTTTCTAGTATATGTATATTTTTTTAATTTAAATGTTCACAAAGCGTTTATTTTGAGCCTTGCTACTGTGTAAAAAACTGTTTCATGTTTAGTTTTTATTTTTAATTAAAATGTTTCATATTCAATTGTTCACAAGTGTTTTTATTTTTTTTCTTCCAAAAGTAATGGCTTATTGTCCGGAAAGCACAGTACATTTCCAAGGTGGGTCATGAACTGATGTACTAAACAGCATAACTAACCTATAGCCCCAGCCCCAAAGGTGTCATCGTTAAACTGGTCAATTTCATCTTCTTCTTCTTCTACTAATCCGTCATCTTCCTCTTCCAACGTACAGTCTTCATCCAGGGACTGGAAAATAAGACAGAGAATGGAATTGAAATTGGATTTTGAAATCAAAACTGAGAATATGATGTAAAATGGTTGGTTGGTTGTAAATGTTTTTAGCTATTGGAAAAATACCGTATCTCAATGTGCTGGTTGTGCACCACCTGTGAAATCTACAGCATGTATGCCTATTTCGTTACCTGCCAGATCACCAGATAAATTTGTTCTGTGGCTTGGACTAGGCAGATGGCCACACTACAAGTCTGACACTGACCAGACTCAATTCGATCATCATCATGGCTCAACACCTGTATGGACACGCACTTGAGTCCCGCAAGATATCTCAGGCAGAAAAAGGAGCTTCAGTGCGCTGGTCAGAGGATCAGTGATGGGCACTCCGCTACATCTCACTATTGGTCAACGAGGAATCAATTGTAGAATGACATGGGACAAGCTGTACGATGCAACAACACAAACAGAAATTCTGACATTGTCGACTTTCTGCGGCGTGAAAATGAAGCGTCTCTGATCCCAGATCACCAATCATTGAGTATGTCATACAACACGGGCTACGAAGCATCAAGACAACTCAACATCTGCCATGACACACTACGTTTGTCTGCGACATGCCTGTTGGGTCAAAATCAGACTACATTTGTGTCGTCTGACCTCGGTATTAGACGGTGACAGCCAAATGTGTGGAGCTGGCTGAGTAAATAGCAGAGGAGGGGGCAGAGGTGCTCGAATGGCCATACCTTTCGTTTCGTTTGTTTATTGAACATAAAAACCTTAACACAGACCTAGGCAAACTACGGCCCGCGGGCCGGATCCGGCCGGTTGGTCTTTTTAATCCGGCCAGCTGAAGGTTGGCACAGTACACAATTCAGGTTCGATGTAAATGATTGTATTCATTTCATTTGGACTTGTAATGACAGGCATTTCAATGCCAGGTGGCGCAGTTACTTGAAGTTGCAGAGCACAGGGAGGGAGGGGGAGACGATATGGAAGCCCGTAGTAGTAGCGCTAACTCAAGTAACTCCGCTTGATACGACAGAATAAGTGTGTCCACGCCGCTATTTTCAATCATTGATTCCAAAATGACGACATGCAAGTGACTCTTTATTGCAGTGAGTTTTACTGGAATTGAGAACATTTTTACGTCCTGTAGATCAGGGGTCCCCAACCTTTTTTGCCCCACGGACCGGTTTAAGTCAGACAATATTTTCAGGGACCAGCATTTAAGGTGTGGCGGATTAATACAACAAAATAATATGGTATGAGCTGCATGAAAACTGTGGTGTTTTCGAAATATAATAATAAACACAAGGAGCGTCTAATCTGGTCGCAACACTCCGATCGCTATGACAATGTTTAATGTCTTCAAAATATGATACAACACAAATTCAAAGTGCATGAAAATGACGACTCACCACAGCCCCGAGCTTGATTTTCTGCAATCAGACAGTCCCATCTCAGGGTAATAGGAGACAATGACACCTCAAGTGTGTGGTTTATGTCCAGTCTACTTCGTAATTTTGTTTTAGTCGCCGTTGCTGCAGAAACTCCCCA